GTGTTGATAAAAAAAGGAAAAATAAAACTACGTTTTATACTTCTAACCATGTGTTATACTATTAAAAAGACACATTTTTTATGCCATTACTTTACGCCTTGGCAAAATTTTCATAATACTAATAAAGAATCGCATAATATAATCAACTAGAGTTATCATTTTATCTCACTCTCTCTATTTTAGCATGCATATTTTTTAAATGAACTTAAATAATTTTATTTATGTATGATAAAAAATCTTTTTAAGATTTTCACTAAGGTACTGCCCTAGCAGTGACAAAATAAATAGCGTAAAAGTAACTAATTTCCTAAAGAATTTTATGTCATGCGGTTTCATTATAAAAGTCTCTCATAGAGTCGTCTAGAAAAAGTTATGTTTATCCATCCTTCATCCTTTTCCACATTAGGGTCGCGTGGGAGGTTATAACTTATTACATTATTCTCAGAAACGCCACGACGTAGAATTGATTTTCTGACGCAGGTCCAATATCTTAACACAAATTGTAGTTTTACTTTGCATCAAACTTTTACTTAGTATTACTGTTGTCTTGTTTACAGTTCATAGTCTTGAATATTACAAAGAGGAAAGATTTGTATGTAAGTATTTTTAAAGAATTGACTCAAAAAGTACTTGACCGATTTTAAAAATTCTTTTACCATATGAATGCTACATTATCACTGATTAATATAAGATTTAATTGGATCCCTACTAAAACTACAATGATGTGTGTAAAAAATGCCTATAAAATATCTTTCAACGCATGCGCTGCGAAAACTATTGATCAGAGAACAAAAAAATGTTCCACAATATTAAAAAACTTATCAATATCTACAAAAAATGTTTAACAAATGTATTCCTCTAGTAAGGTATAAGATAGGTTTCATTGTTATTTTTTTTCATGGTTACATTGCATTCTAGTAAGCACATAAACAGTATTTTCAGATTGCTAAACTTAGCTAAAGTTGTTAATTGAGGTTATTTCTTTCTATATAAGATTGTTATTTCGTTTTGAATTCTGAAGACTTTATAAAGCTTCTGCTGCATGTTTCAAACTTATTAATATTACAGCTCTTCGAAGTATAGAGCTGGTTAAAAGGGGTCACTGACTAAAGAATAATTTATCGGCGGCAGTCTTATCGATTTCAAGTCGTCTTGTTGCAACCGGGCATCTAACACTCTATCTATATATAAAAATAGCACACCCAACATACATGTATGTAAATATTAAACGGAGTATCAGAATAATGAACTAGCTTGATGTGGTTGACATATAATATAATTCTTTATTTATTTCTTAGTACTTTACCCAGGGAACCCGTCGATAACATTATTGTACGATTTTACAATTACAAATAGTTTCTTAATAGTTTATTGTCTTAGCATCAGACACCAATTTCCACTAAGAATAAGAAGAAGATACTAAGTTCAACAGGCATTTATTCCCTAGGTATGATTAACAAACATATTCTACACCTTCATCTAGTGTATTCACGAACCATATAAACCCCTGGCAAACCTCAGTCACGATAAAAAAGCTTCGTTACGATACAGTATCGACGAAACCATTCAATTTACAGCAAATTATTAACTCAGCTACATTGTAAAAACTAATTAAAGGCCGCTGGTAATTGGATTTCAATGCCTTATTCTTGACATTCAAACTATATTGACATATAAGAAACGTTTGAACTTTTCTTAGTTTTATTTTCATACTTTAAATAAATAATATAGGACCACCTTTAGTCAAGTATTATAATATTTAGGCATCCCGAATACTATACCGATGACATACACTGTAGTTAACTAGATTTAGATATTTTTATTCGTCTAATAATAGTGTGTGCGAAATGTAAAGTGCGATAAAATATATTATTTGTTTTCTAATTATCTAATTTTGTAGTTTGCGTTTCGTTTGCTAGTCACAACTAAAAATAATGATTATTTGTCAAAAATAATTATATTGCATACCGTATACGGATGAAAATGCAATTTTTCTTCATATGAATGAAATTCTTCACATAATGCTACGACATATCTGACTTCGTAGACATCACCTACGGCAGACTACACACATAAGAGAGATGGTTATTGTTTATTTTGTTTAATAAGCCTTTATTCTTTCCAACAAAGGACGTCATTATGCGATATTTTGTTACATTGTTTTGTACTGTAACACCATAAATATATTCCCTATGTAGGTGCTTTGTTCTTGCTTTTGTCTATGGTTGATGCAAGTTAATTTAGAATTACTTTAATATTAAGGAATCGTAAGGATACTAAGCAAAAAAGGAGAAAGTCGTTCTTTAAACCGAATATAGTAATACTACTATAAGTTATACGTTACTTCGATTGGCGCGTTAGGGAAAAATTATGAGAGTAAAGTTTTACGATACGCGCGCACACCGTCTCAGAAAACCGACTATAGTCAAAATTTTAGTGTTTTCTATTGTTAGTGTCGTTTATCTTGTTACGCCAAAGAAGTATAACTTCTAACGCGTGTATATAAGTACACACACGTTTTGTAATACTATTTAATAACAAGAAGTTTATACAATATCCTTTATCTCGTTTGTCTTGTCTGTACGCCTGATTTCATAATCTGTTAGTTGATTGTTGACTAGGTTTATGTATTAAAGTATACAGATCTCAAAGTTGTGGCTTAAATGTAGAAGTAGGCATAAATTATGACTTGGCAAAGCCCGTGATAAATTCTTAAACAATAGCAGTCCGACGAATTCGTGCGACCTTTTCAAAGTCCTATTTATTCTCAAAGCCTCCAATATTTAGGTTATGAATTCTATTTCATTCCTATTTCGCATTTGGCTTTGTTTCCAAGCCGTCCGTATTTTTAGTGTGGGATAAGCCACTGGCGCAGGTACTTTGCATTCTTTGTACTGGATACATTATGATTTCGACTACATAACTTGTTGTATTTCTGGAACTTTGCTAAATCATTATTTACTTAACCACTGGAATCTTAAGTTATGTCCGATTTTCAACTGACTTTGAAAATAATTATTTTAAATAATTATCGCCGTGGTACGCGCCTTACTAACATAGTATGGAAGAACTACAAGTGTAACCTTTAATTGAATTTACCATTATATCGCAATTTAATTATTCGCAAACTTCAAGATGAAACTGCTTTATATAAAAATAAAAACTATTTCTCACAGAAACCAACGATACAATTTTATGCTTTTACTGTTTTACTGTCCAAGCTCTAGAAATTAGTAGAAGTATATTTTTTTTTACAAATATTTATTAAAATATCAAAGCTTCTTTTATTACTCAGTGATAACATATTGTTTTTTATTATTTTACCCTGTAAACGAAGCTAGTAAAACTATAGAAAACATCGGCGGCTATAGAAAGAATTAAGCAAACTAAATAATAAAAAAAGAACTTGAACTACGTAAAAATCAATTCTTAACATAGACCCTGAGTACCAGGGCATCAGAGGCTCAAAGGACGTGACATTGCCTTGTTTAATAAAACCCGTCTCGCGACATTCCAGGTAATGAAGGCTGTATTTACGTTTATGTTGCAATGCTTTGGGTTATTTCGGGCAAATGTAGGTCACCTTAGAAACAGAACGAAGCGATTAATAGTTAGGACTTATACTTAATAAGTGGATAAAATTGTTGAGTTTATGGTTTTGATTAGGTTCATAAAAATGATCATTTATACCATTTTATTACATAAATTATGCCCATATATTTCAAATACTGTTTCTACGAAGGGCTAAATGCTGAAATCAGAAAAAAACAATAAAACAGAAATCGAAATATACTTTCATCATATCAGAGTGGGGGATTTCCTTGTCGTGTACAAAACGTATTAATTTTGATTACATCAAAGGGTTTTTGCTTTTTAAGATTCTAATTCTAAGGGTCTTACCATTTTTATATAAGTTACTAGCTGCCCCCGCGAACTTCGTTTCTCCTGTGATTGTGATGTGATTTTACTTAGCCTACCTTTTTAGTACATATAACATACCAACATGGAACATTTTGCTATGCTACCCCAGAGACGGTTCGGTTTTCCGGAATAAAAACTTTTTTGGTTTTTCTGTGAATTTTTCTCTATATAAACCTCAGAGTTCAAGTCATAAGTTTTTAATTAACAAATAAAAAATAGGGGTTGATCGTAGAGCGGTGAAAATTAAGGGTTGTATGTATTTTTGTATGTTGTATCAAAAAAAAAATAGGTTTGGACCACCCTTAACATTTAGGGATTTGAAAGATAGATAGTAGCCGATTCTCAGACTTACTGAATATACATAAAATAAATTGTGCGTGTACTAGGTGTACACACGTAAGAAGTGAAACTTCTTTATGATCTTATTTTTCGAAAAATGATCTACTATATGCAACTTTACAGAAATTCGTTAAATTAGATAAAGTTTAACAAAAGGCTTTTATTATCATAGACATGAATACAAATATTTCATTTTACCTTAATACTACGAAGATTATTATAGAATTTCATTAATTGTAATAGAATTATTACTATCATTGAAAAACGTGACGATTTGCTACAAAATTTCTCCCATACGTCGATAAAGAAGTTTCATTCCAACGCCGATAAAGAAGTTTGACTTCAAAAAGCAACATGGCGCGCAACCGAAAAATGTGACGCGTAACGAAAAAATGTTACACTAAATTTTTTTCCAACCTCGATGAAGAAGTTTCACTTCAAAAAAATCATAAGAATCGGTCGAGCCGTTTCGGAGGAGTGTGGGAACGAACATTGTGACACGAGAATTTTATATATTAGATAATAATACATTTAAAAAAAGTCAATTCTATGTCAGTAATATTTTTCTTCAGAAGCCCCAAGTAAGTTGTGGGGTAGAGCGAAGAACGATATTTACGCTCGCTACCCTCTAAGTCTCTAATACCTTGAAAGGGGTAAACACTTAGCTAGCAATTAAACTATTTTTAGACTGTATTTTATTACGACGCTATGACTATATATAATTTATTTCATTGTTTCAGCTGGCGAATGGCACAGCGCAACGTTTTGGGTTCTTGTAGTAGGTGCGACTTTGTTAGCGGTAATCTTAGCCGCCGTCGCATGCTGGGTGGCTCGGAGGAGATCTTCGCTTGCTCACAAACTTGGTAAGAAATATATTCTACTCTTTGATTAACTGCTCCATTAAAGGCAAGTTATAAATAATTCTTAATGTATTATAAATTAATTCAGTCTTCATGTAACTAGAGATTTTATTTTCCTTTCATAGTAACAATACACTTTAAAAAACAAATCAAATACAATGACCAACAAAAAATCGTTATTTCAAATGACAATTGCTCATACTTGTCCATGGCTATAGGCTCTGGGTAGTATAGGGTTGTGATACGATGGTATTCGTAGGTGGAAAGCGAGGTCCCGACAAGGCGCTGGTGTTCCAGCCACCCCGTCGTGCGACAGCCGTTCGATCGCCTGGCTCAGCTACACACTACTTACGCAAGTCGCCTTCGCCAACCGCCGCTGGCCCGCCGCAACCGCAGCCCACGTCTCCCCCACGTCCGCATACACCCAACCCGGTATTTTAACTCATCTAATTACAAATATTTCTACGTTACACATTTCTATTTGAAATTTTTGACAAATATTGTCTCTGATTTATACGAACGAATACTTATTTAGTATAAATTGATTTTATTATATTATTTTTTTTACTATAGAATTTTTTTTTATATAGCAGTCGTAAACAACCAGACTATTGCTCTTATATAAATATTTTAGACTTTTATAAAGTATGCGGTCAGTATTTTTTCTTAATATCATGTAAAGGAATTAATACCCTAAACATTTTTATTACAAACTTTTTTAACATACAGGGTTAGATACTAGTTTATGTATTTCATAAACAATTGAATAATTATCCCATAGCCGTCAGCAGCTACGACCCCTCACACTCCAACTGCTCCTAATGAGCCGACGCCCCTCAGCAAGGAACTAGCGGATGTCCACGCCACGGAGAAGGTCAAACCCCTGGAGCCAGAAAGCAATGATGGAAAACTTGGAGATCTGCACTTCAAGCTGTGGTATGCATTATAATATATAGACCATGTTACGGTTATTTTTCGGTTACAATGCGCGGATCGAAGAAACGATAAATTGATTTATATAATTAATTATTATAATGATTTAAAGGTAGCGTATTTTAAGAACTAAATTCTGATTCTCATACTGATTATTCATCAAATCTTTAAATAAACTAAATCATCAGAGATAGATTAATTGTTGTGGTTTTTATCCATGTACAACTTTTAAAAACAAAATCAGTACTGGGCTCCTTCCAATATCTATTAATATGTCGAGCTAACGTAAAATCGATATATTACCACCCCACACCCCAATACACGTGCAGGCAGACGTATCAAATTTCGCATTAGTAGTCTAGTCGACAAGTTGAAAATGGAACAAAATAGAGATACTGCTCTTAAAATTATGTGCGATAGCTCATTCGAACCGAATCCCAGAAAAATGTGCTAAAAGCGTGTATTAGCACATAAAAAATTGCAAAAGTTATAGACCATTAAAGATGAAAAAAATGGAATTTAGTTTTTGCCAATATTTAATAAACTATTAATATTTAAGAAATTTCAAATAAAGATTCTGAAAGAGGAGGAAATTTCCAATAAAAACTCTCAGCTCGGAACTCTATCCCATTATTTATAACTTTAATTTAACGCTGAAAATAGGTCTGTGCGTGACATTTTTAGGATTCGCGCGTGGCGTCAAAGCGACTACGGCACATTAATTAATTTATTTAAGGTATTGAATATTTTTTTAAATTTGAAAAAATTATGGTGTGTTCTGAACACTATAATTAATTTATTCCCGTTGGAAATTTTACTTAAAGTTAATTTTTCAACAAGTTAAATAATTGTTAACTAAGAAATTTTCTCGAACGACCGTCTTAATTGTAAGTGAAAAAAATGTTTTAATAATGGTCGTAAAAATATTTCGCTTCGTAGAGCCTTTCTTACATACATACTTAACAAGATCGTGCCATAAAAGTTAAAGAAATATTTATACTTTGTTTATAACAATTTTTTTACTTAAACAAAAACTTAAAAATCAAGTAATGTTGTTAAAAAATTTTTTTTTTTTTTTCTAAATCATCATTATCGTTTTTATATTAATACAAGATATTTATTGATTTGCAAAAAAAATTTCCCATTGTTAATAATTTTTTTAAACAAATTGATTAAATCAATTGTTTTAAAAAAAAATTTCTAACTTTATTACATTACAAATATTATGATTGTTTAAAAAAAAATTTCCTTAATAACATATTTTAATTGTTTATAATCGTTTTTTTATATTTCTTTTGTTTAAATAATTAGTTAAGAAATTTTTTTTTTTAAAAATCATAATTCACAATCCTCTATAAGTAAAGAAAAAAATTTTTTTTTAATCAACAATCATTGTTTATTAACTTACCAATTTGTTATAAACAAATGTTCAACTTTTATATTTTTTTCTAAAACTACAAAATTAACAAAAACAACCATATATAACAAAATATAGAAAAACATTTTTTTAAATTTTTTGATTATCATGAATATTACTTTTATTAAAAAATTTTTTTTTTTTTTTTTTATAGACTTTGTTATATATGTTTGTTTTTGTTAATTTTAGAAGTTTTAGAAAAAAATATAAAAAGTTGAACATTTGTTTATAACAAATTGGTAAGTTAATAAACAATAGAATTGTTGATTAAAAAAATTTCTGTTACTTATAGAGGATTGTGAATTATGATTTTTAAAAAAAAAAAAAAATTTCTTAACTAATTATTTAAACAAAAGAAATATAAAAAAACGATTATAAACAATTAAAATATGTTATAATAAGAAAAAAATTTTTTTTTTAAAACAACTATAATTTTTGTAATGTAATAAAGTTATGAAATTTTTTTTTAAAACAATTGATTTAATCAATTTGTTTAAAAAAATTATTAACAAATGGCGAAATTTTTTTGCAAATCAATAAATATCTTGTATTAATATAAAACGATAATTTGATGATTTAGAAAAAAAAATTTTTTAACAACATTACTTGGAAGTTTTTGTTTAAGTAAAAAATTGTTATAAACAAAGTATAAATATTTCTTTAACTTTTATGGCACGATCTTGTTAAGTATGTATGTAAGAAAGGCTCTAGAAGCGAAATATTTTTACGACCATTATTAAACATTTTTTTCACTTACAATTAAGACGGTCGTTCGAGAAAATTTCGTTATTAACATTATTTAACTTGTTGAAAAATTAACTTTAAGTAAAATTTCAACGGAATAAATTAATTATAGTGTTCAGAACACACCATAATTTTTTCAAATTTAAAAAAATATTCAATACCTTAAATAAATTAATTAATGTGCCGTAGTCGTTTTGAGCCAGGCGAATCTAAAATGTCAGCACAGACCTATTTTCAGCGTTAAATTAAAGTTATAAATAATGGAGATAGAGTTGGGCTGAGAGTTTTTTATTGAAATTTCCTCCTCTTTCAGAATCTTTATTTGAAATTTCTTAAATATTAATAGTTTATTAAATATTGGCAAAAACTAAATTCCATTTTTTTTCATCTTTAATGGTCTATGACTTTTGGGTGTAATAACGCTTTTAGCACATTTTTTAGGCGTATTGGTTGAATGAGCTATCGCACATAATTTTAAGAGAGTATCTCTATTTGTTCCATTTTCAACTTGTCGACTAGACTATAGAATGTTAACACGTTGTTGCATTACGAGATCTATCAGATCTCTTGCAGGACTTTCGTATGTGGTGAACATAAGGTTTTTTCACTTTGGGGAGGATGTAATTGTAAAGTTCTTGAAGGATGAGAGGACAAATATACATATTTGTTCTTACTGTCTAATTTATTTGTTAATGTCCTTTAATTCAGTTTAAAGCTGAATTAAAGGACATTAAAAATAAATTAGAGATGGATTAGGTCCCTAAGAAGTACTGTAATTGTTTTAATTCTTGGTTAGGAGATATGTCGGTACTCGTGAAATGTAACCTGTAGAGAAGAGATGGAGGATGGATTTTTAGTGTTGTCCTAGAATCGACATTCGGGAAGTCGGGGACGTTTTGGAAATAACACTCGCGTATATATCAGGTGTTGATTATTTTGATAAACAATGAGTGATTAAGTTTAAAAGAAAAAAGTGTAAAAAATCTATTTTATTGGTGAGGTTTTAACAAAAAAATAAGCCGGATTATACTGCTGCATCGTCAGTAAAATATTTGTTTTGGAAAATGTTAAAATTTGCCCCATTGACTAATAATGAAGTGATTTGATTATGAAATATTTAACGATAAACCTTTTTCGTTGGAGCACAGAGTTAAACAGACTGACGCTTCTAAAAAAACTAAACGAATTGTTACCATTTGCGCGTAATGTGCAAGCAATCAATGTACCATGTTTTAATGAAAAAACTTTGCATAATTAATAAAACTTTTAGAATCGATAATGAGATATTATTTTATTCCATCACTACTTACTAAATATTGAATATTTCGGGTGGGTAGAGATAAATGATACTATTTTTTTGTTATTTGTAGTTTATTCAAATGTGAATGTGGAATAGAAAATATAAAGAATTAGGTATCTTTACAAAAAATTCAAAAAAGTATGTTTTTGGAAGATAAAATATTTTAAAAGTGATAGGAGATGATAGGTAGAAGAGGAAGGAGAGATAGGTTAAGGAAAGTTTTTAAAAAAGGAATGTTAATTGATTTTTATTAAACTGCAAACAAGTTTCCTTGGTATACCTTTTAGTAGAATCGGATAGAAAATGCTTCAATTATTTTCGCTTCGCTTTTACTTTATGTATGAAATAAAAGCAATTTTGCGGAGATTCAATTTTTAATAAGTTTTGGGAAACTTGGTTTTTTCGACAAGATAATTCAATATCGATTAATTATTTTTGTATTCGAAATTAAACGTTCTTTTCACCGGGTACCAGTGTAAATTATTTTTAAAACAACAGCCCTGCGATTCTGTAACTCACTTTTCGAACTCACACAGCGGTTTTCGCTGAAAAGGTGGGAGTTGTAGTTTATTGTTTATCAGAATGCCAAATCATAAAATGACTGCTTCACGACTGATTTGAGAGCGACCGCCGATGTGAAAACCGCTGTGTGAGTTCGAAAAGTGAGTTACAGAATCGCAGGGCAGTTAAAGTTTAATTCGAATTTTCGTTGAGTAATTTGATAAATGGTATAACTAGGAATCATACAAATATATATTCACAAAAAACGATTTTTGTGTTTATTTTTGTTATTTGTTACAAAAGGTAGTGTGGCAAAAAGTAATGGCTTAGGTATAAACAAACTATATCAATTACAGTAATATGGCTACGATTTAGAGAAGCTTTTAAAACATCTGTGCTTTGAAACCACTACTATATCGAAGTACTTTTAGTAATCTACTAATATATATGAATGAAGTGTTAGATGAGAGAATTATTTACGTTTTCGCGATCATCATTACGTTCAAAGTCGAGGTCGTAACATGGTTTACGACGGACCTTCCTGTACGTCATTAATACTCTTTATAGGCATTTACGATACAAGTCTGACGACGACGCAATTTAGTACTGCGAGCTGAGCCTGGCGGTTTTGCCCGATAATTTGTTATAGCGTGTTACATACACGAACTCCTTCATAAATTACTATCTCAAAAAAAATCAGACTAAAAGTTGGTTAGTCCGATATCAGCGCATTTGTATAGAGCCCTTTTATCAGTACCTTATAGTATTATAATGTCATTTATCCTGTCTGATTGGTAGAATCATAAAATTAGTATAAGTACTAAATCGGGATATAAGCTAAAATTAACAAGTCTCATTGAAAGAATATTTAAAAATATGTCTAAAAAACTGTACAATTTGGTTACGAAATTGATTGGACAATCAATTACAGATTTAAGGAAACATGGCAATGCATAGTTAATATTACTTATTTATATCTTTACTTAACACGTATGTAAGTACTTACCGCTGTTAGCCTGTGTAGATATAAGGCTTCTATGTAGAATATGCCCTATATATATCCTGGAAACAAGACTTTTTCAAATACTTATAAATAAAGTGGTTATCTTTATATATATAAGAAAAATGGTCTTCGTTTGAGGCTCCTTCACGCCTAAACCACTGATCGTATCGTCATGAAACTACTGCCATTCGATGCGAAATTTCTCCTAGATAGTTTGATAGATTAGATGGCTATTTATTTTTTAAATTCCAACGTTCCTTCATTTTTTTATTGCTGTTTTACTTTTATGAAAATTTATACATACGGACTTCACCGCGGAAACATTCAGGGAGGCTTCCTAGAACCTCAAAACGACAACATCTGTTAAAAACTCGATTTTCGAAAATTTTCTTAGCGGGAAGTTAATAAGAATAATAAAAATATGAAAAAAAAATTTATAATGAAACATAAAATTTTATTTATTTCCTATTTTAATTCGCCCAGCGAAGTGGGCGGGAAACGGCTAGTTTAAATATATAAACAAATATGGTACAAGTGGTTTAAATTATTATCAGCTATGTTTCACACAATCCGAAAATCTTAGAGATAAATTAATTTCGTATATCACAAAGTCATACGTACCCAGTTTTCTAGTCTATGATGCTTTCAGGTATGAAAATGTAAAGAGTGCTTTGGTGGTGTCGGTGGTTTCTTGCCAGAACTTGCCAGGTCGTGAACCAGCCGGACCCGACCCCTATGTCAAACTACAACTTCTTCCTGAGAAACAGCACAAGGTCAAAACTAGGTAAGCTACCTTTTTCAATACCAGGTCATTATTATAAGTCATTTTCAAGTTAGGTTTTTTTAACTTATATAGTATTTTGTATATCTATTAATTGTGAAGATGTATTTTAAAAATTTTATGTTCGTGTTTAAATGTTTTACCACATTGATCAATCGTCAAACACTATATTGGACGCCAATAGTACGTTTGGAAGGTTTGATTACTCTGTTCGTAATCAATCTTAAATTTTAACCATTTCTTTTTGTTCATATATGATGGTTTTCAGAGTGGTGCGCAAAACCCGTTGTCCTGTTTACGATGAGGACTTTACGTTCTACGGAATCGCTCCGCATCAGCTCACTGGCATCACTTTACACTTTGTTGTTCTTAGCTTTGACAGGTACGAACATACGCACATTTATTGTACAAAAATTCAAACTTATAATGATTTTTCTTTCTAAATAAATGAATACTTAAATATCGATTTCCAGATATTCCCGTGACGAGATAATAGGCGAAGTGGTCTCTCCATTATCCACCCTTCAATTGCAGAGTGGTGAAGCTATGGCGCTGTGCAGGGAGATACAGCCTCGTAGTCTTAAGGTAACTTAGATATTTTCATAAAGCGAAATATTTTTAAGTTAACACTGGTCTGGTGTTGTTTGAATTTGACTTAAATTCATAATAAAACTATAATTAAAAGTACTTTTTTCACCATAGCGCATTTGTACACATGAGTGCCGTAATAAATATATAAATTAAATAAATTGTAGTAGGTTATCCTAAGTTCGTGACATCCGTGCTATTCCCAGCAGTTTCCCAATAGAGAATATTGTGTGCCTGCAAACATATTATCTCTTGCTGTAAGCAAGGCTTGAAGATTAGTTGCCGTGGTTTATTATACCTGATGCTAAACTGAACATTATTATTTACTTGGGACTGTGTGTTCTTACGCGAACGGTTGAACATAAACCGAGAAGTCTATTGCAGGCGTCTTTGTAACTCTGAATAGCGATAGCGATTGGAATCCCGACGTTTAAGTATCACTAATTCTCAAAGTTGCGTCATCAACGCTCAGATATCGACTGAACTAAATCGAAATTTCATACGAAAACTTCTAGATGTAAGCACCGCCGCTGAAAATATATATTTCCTGTAACTATTATTTTATGTGTATTTTAGCAATATCTGCATTATTGTTATTTTAAAAACTTAGATGCGAAGCGTGGGTCGTGGCGAAGTGTTGGTATCCCTTTGCTGGCAACCGGCCGCCGCAAGACTCACTGTGGTACTGCTGAAGGCACGCAATCTGCCCAAGATGGACGTCACTGGACTCGCTGATCCGTAAGTTCTTTCATATTAACTGCGTACACGAAAACACCATTCAAATATAACGTCTTTAATGTATATATTTGCGCATTCGTTATTAATATACGCACGCAATCGTATTCAGCGAGATCTTTTACCTTATTTTTTATTGTTTACACATTATTTATTTTCTATTGTTTTGTCATTTATGTATTTTAAATTTTCGACAGTCATCATCGGTCGTGTCTTTTTTCCTTAGTATGAGTTTGCCGTATAAATAAGTAATATTTTATAAATCTTTTCAGAGTGTTCCATAACTTAACAAGTTATTTTATTTATTTATATTTTATTGCAATTTATTTATACAACCCAACACTTAAAAGAGGAGAAAAGTGTATAATAAAGGTAACAAAGAGTATATTATAATAACTATTATATTATAGATATTCCTATAATACGCAATTAATAAGTGATTAAAACAACTAAAAACATTTCTCCTGTTGAACATTCTAGATACGTAAAAATGTACCTGCTATACAACGGACAGCGCATCGCGAAGAAGAAAACACACGTGAAGAAGCGAACCTTGAACCCTGTGTTCAATGAGTCGTTCGTGTTCGAAGTACCCGCTGCACCAAACGCTACACTGGACCACGTCTCGCTAGAACTGCTTGTGTTGGATTGGGACCGAGTCACTAAGAATGAGGTAAAAATAATTCAAAATAGTTTTTTTGTCAGGTATTTGAAAGCTTTAGTTTAAATTTAAATTTAATTTGTCCAATTGCACTCTTTTAACTAAAGCAAAACAAATAGCGATTGCTAGTGAATGTTTAACTATGAACGGAATAATTTAAAAACTTATCGTAGGTGGTATAATGAAATCTATAAGAATAATCATAATTTAAATAAAATTTACTGAACTCATAAGTATTCTTCTTATCAAAACTTCGATATTGCTTCGGTTGACTTAACTTTCTTCTCATTAAAATTTGATTGATTTTTTGTATTTGCACATTATTGCACACGTTAACGATGTAGTTGTCTGTGTACTTACGAGTATTAAAAGTATTAAGAGTAAAACATAAAACTCGGTAATAACTCTAAAGGCCGAGCAAAACAGATGGCCTTATCGTGTTAATTCGCGCTGTTTATCCGTGCTTTCATTAAGCAATACTTTCTAAAAGCTTTTTGGTTGAAGTAAACGCAATAAGCGTGATCATAAAAATATCCATCTTTAATTGGTAGCAGAATTGAAGTGGGATGTTTTTACTATGCAGTTGTAGATTGGAGGAATTCAAGAGGAAAAATAAGGTCAAAAGCAATAAAATTAGAAACTTATTTACTCCTGATTATAAATGTATAACAACGCAAACAATATTTTGTACAAGAGATTTCTACAACAGTTTTCGTAAGAGTCACCTTATGTACGAAAGAGGTTACAACGTATTCTTACTTTATCAAAAAGTACCTTTTATTTGTCTATTGCCTCTGTTATAAATTGTCTTCATTGAGGCGACAGCAGTTTCGATGCATATGTATTTGATAAAAAAATATATCTCAGGTGATCGGTCGCGTAGAACTCGGGGCTAATGGAACAGGCAGCGCCCGGCACCACTGGCGCGAAGTGCAGGCCGCACCTCGGCGACAGATCGCTGACTGGCACAAGCTTAAGGAGTAAAGGGCGTGCTATAAGTAAAACTCTTCACTATTCAATTGTTTTAATTTTATTTACAGTCTGGGCAAACGCTTGGTTTGGATACAATAGTTTTATTAAAACGCGTCTTCATCTGGGAAAACTGTATGTATAAACGAAATATGTTGTTATCAGGACGCTTCAAGGGTTAAAGCATAAAACAAAAACTTTTTTATATAATATAAATAAAGAATGTTTGATTGGAATGAGTATATAATTATAATATATTTAGATTGTTATTTATTCAAGATAAATGTGTAACAGTATTAACGCATCAAAAATTGTAGTCTTCAAAAGTCAATTGCCTCACAAAATAATTCCCATGACTCAATATATTTGACTATTAAGGGCCGATCCTCAGCATTCAACCATTTACAGTTTATTGTCGGCCCGAGTTTAACATGTATACTTTCTTTAACACATTTATCTCAAAATTAAAAATACCAGTTAGTGCTTTAGCCCTTGCTCAGTAAAGGAAATGGGAAATAAAATTATCAACAACCGCTATTTTTCGAGTGATTAATTTATCTCTTTATTGCTTAAACCCTTTGTAAATAGTTGCTACTGATTTAGGCTTTTCAAAAGCTTAAATTTTTCTATATTTCCTTTCTTAATAAAATGTAGTTAATAGAAATTGATGTTTATACGAAATTATCACTTAGTATTAATTCGGCCAAAACCTTATCATTATTGCAACGAAAAGAGAGATTTTTTTGTTAAAACCAAGTATAGCATAGGTTTTCCAAAGAATTATCAGGTGTTAGGTTAATTTTTGAAAGCGCACATTTCATTCCGATCACACAAGGCGCTCTCAAGGTACAATAAATTGAAAAAATCACTAATTTATTTCGTAACTGAAACGCCGTTCATAAGTTCTTAATCATCATATCTAGTCATACTCAAGTAAATATAAATAGAATAGAAAAGTCTATTTTATACTTATAGAGATATTAATGTTAGTATAAGTAACTCGTAAGAGTTTTTGGTCACGTGTACCTTAATGTCTAGCAATTCACAATAGATCGCTTTGCTCCCGACCACCGTAGTTCATCCTGAATAGTCTTTGCGAAAATTGTTGGGTTAAATAACTTACACAAGCTTTGAAGTTACTTCTACTACTGGTCTACCTATAGGTATATGAAATATATAAAAAAAATATTATGTTAGATTAGTTTTGTTTTAAGATCATATAATTCGTAGTAAGACCGTTAACACGTATTCATTACAGTCGCATATTGTGAGCCAATATTGATTTTGAAAATGATAAAAAATCGTACGTCGTTACGTCAAATATTAGATATTATGCAATATTACATTAATATGATCATGTTTAATACTTTTTCAATCCATGGTAGTGTTGATTCATATGTTATCTGAGAACGGATCTCATTTTGGATATTACACTCAACAAAGTTTGCATAGACTAACTAGATATAATTCATATTAATGTAAACATAAGGTAAGATTATACCATAATACCAATTTTCCATTTACCCACCTTACTCTATATAAGATATTATAATTATAATCCATAAAGTCATAATGCAAAAAGTTGTTTTTGCGACTTGTGGTCGTGTCACATTAATTTGTGATTTTGCTTTGCAATACATTATTTTTCAACATCGAAACAACTCTCATTGTTTCTTAATATTCTAAGTTGACAGTCTTGCGTTATATTTGGATTGTTATAAAGGAATATTTGTATATAATATTATCTATCCATGCCGATACATTCCAATTTGTATATAAGTCTTGATCTCGATAATTTCATTGTAAACGTAGTAATAAATGTCTTTAGTATTAATTTTTTTGTTGTATTTCGTATTGTGGTAGATGTAATCACGATTTTTTTCGAATAAACGATATGCCAAGTTATTAAGAGATAAAAAAAACTGTCATCTACGTCATTATATTGATTTGTTATTGATTTTCGAAAATTCTTAATCTCATGGCAAATCACAAACAAGGAGCGTAAAGCCTTAGGATCTATCATACGTACATTTTACGAATTGTAATAGTTCCTTTATTTTAAAGTTTTAGTCATTTAGCTCTTGAATATTAAAGCATTATTACTAAGGGCTTATTTTGAAGTTTTGTTATTGTAACTTATTTACCAAGTTCCTATAAATACTTACATATTTCTATGTAAGCCCGTTATCTACTTTATATGTATTTGTTTTAAATTGAATTATTAAATTATTTTTCCGAGACAGGAGCAATAAAAATCTCTTAATCGTTCTTTGATAAAACCTAAGGTTTTAGGAGGCCAGCAGTCCGGTATCAGTTTTTGTATACTAAGGAATTTTAGTGAATAAATTATTGACTGGTGCTTTCACAATAATTGTTCGTTTTATTTACATCCTTTAACTATTCCAATCAATCAGGTCGAATACATATAGGTAACTAACCTATTATTATAAATATATTAGCTGACCCGGCAAACGTCGTTTTGCCATGTATATTATTTCTAGGAAACATTAGTAGAGGGGTGAAAAGAGTCGTATGTATTTTTTAATGGCACATTATAAAAAAAAAATTAAATTTCGTCCAAAAAATAAAATGTTAGGGGTGGACAACAGTTATCACTTAGGGGTATGGAAAGATATAGATATTAGCCGATTCTCAGACCTACTGAATGTGCATATAAAATTTGATAAACATCGGTCAAGCCGTTTCGGAGTAGTATGGTAACTAACATTGTGACACGAGAATTTTATATATAAGATTTTTACATTTCGCCTAGGCCTGAAACAGCCTTCAAAATAATATTTATGTATCAAATGACTATTACAATAATCAGAAGTGTTATTGAATCCTCATGCTAAACATGAATTATGCATATTCACCTAGCTTCTGTGGCAGTCAATTAGATTAATAACTTACTAATATAACTATATATACCTATTTTGGGAGACCGGTCCAACTCAGGGACGAAATTTGATGAGCGATTGTTCATGACTGATTGACAGGATAGATGAGTGAAAGAGCTTTTTTTGTACTTTTTTAAAATAAGCAATGTTACAAATTTAAAACCTAGTAACGATTGTGACCTACTCTTGCCAAATTCACAGCTTGAATCCTTCTGAGCATGTTTCCACGAAGGTGATGTTTTGTGGAGCAGGTTGCACTGATGTTACTCGTCTCTTTGGAACGTTCCAGACGTGCTCATTTGGATTGAGGTCAGGACCTTCAATCTGGTTAATCCCAACTCCTTGAATTTACGTGCATTGTGGCCCATAAAAATTAAATGTTTCTCAAAAGCAGTCCATACGTAGAATTAGGACTTCCGTTATGTACCGGTGTGCATTTAATTTTATGTTTAAAACTAACTCCATACGCTCCATCGAATTATTTGCTGCCCAAAACATAATGGACCCTCAAGGAGTGATTTCTTCGAAACACACTCCCGAATAGTGCCCGTGGTCTTGTTAGACGTGAAAATGAACTAATGACCCTAAGGCGAGAAAATTTTCCGTCAATGATTTATTATGACTTTTGTTGTTGGCTTACTCAACAAACTAAGCTATGATATGCTTTCTTAATGAAGCCCCATCTCGTGCCACTATTTACAACTGCTATCGAAGTTATTTAGGGCCCCGCGCCGCGTGGTAACTACAGACTTCCCGACATTGGTAAAGCAATTTTACAAGAATCATTATTTTTCTTTTGTTAATTTCAAAATTTAAATTGGGACCGTAAAGAATCATGCCAGGATGCTGATACATGGTCAAATTAATAAAACATCTTTCTTGCAATATTCATTGAAGTATAGAAAAAAAAATGTAAAGTTCCTGTTGTTTTTGTGTGTGGGGATGGTGGAACATAAAGAGTTAATTTATGTTCCACCATCCCATGAAGTCCTGTAATTAATTAATTAACACACCGCTAGCTCACGACTGTCTTAGGCAGTAAAATACAGCACGTGAAGCACACAGCGAGAAATGAGAGGTATTACTGTTCAGATTTTTCGTCCAATTTCGATTCTTTGTCTGCTATTGTTCAAACTCAAAATTAAATCAAACTCAAAAATGTATCAAGTGTATATTTGATATCAAATCTTACATACATCTTACTTATTAAGTAGGTCCGAGTTAACTAAAATTACACTGAGATCTAACTTCATTGATCTGTCTTACAAAATATGCATGGATATAGCTAAAACCATTTTTCATATACCGTGACATAAAAGCAATAATTTTGTGTATAATTTAGTAAAGTTTTAGTTAACACATACATATCTTTGAACTTTCTTGAGCTTGTAAAGCAAAAACGATAGATCTATTTATTTTCTTTTTAAGTATGGCAATGGTTGTAAGTAACATACGTTTTTATATTCAATTTAAAAATATATTTGTCATACTAAATGAGATTCAATGTTAGAATTGATTAAAACTTTAAAGTAATATTGTCCAAACGATAATTAAAAAACAGCATACAATATTTATTATAAAATTATTGCTACATTAAAATTAAGTATTAAAAATTAACAGCAATTTGAAATTGCTGAATAATACAAATACGGCCGTATTTTCTTTATTTAAAACAAACCAACCAAAGTCCAACTACACTTGGAAGGTTTACATACATTTAAACTTTACGTTTGTAAACACATTTATAATTAGATTATTAATTAGAGGCAAGTTTCGTGCGTGAGAAGTTGAAAGATAATACAAAAAATTATATCAGATTATAATTTTTCATTAGAATCATAGGAATGCAATAATGTAGGGAAATCTCATTGCTTGAAATACAGCTTCATTTAAATTTTAAACAAATTAAGAAACTATGTTTATATTACACATTTCAATATTGTCATTCAAACATCGAGGACGTGTCTTTGATATAATCTAGCTATAATTTTTAAATAAAGCCACCAAACATCCATCTACTACTACTTTAAAATCGTAAAATAACAATAATGTTATAGATGAGCTGTTACAACTAAAACACATATTTCACACACAAATATGACATATAGAAGCGTTATACACATTTAAATTTTTGTATCCTACGTTGTATACAGGTCTACGTTAATAAAAGTGAGCTTTGTGAGTGTACAATCTACTTAATAATTTGATCCATTGTTAGAATAGTTTTCACTAGAGTATATAAGTGATATTTAAGCATTGTTGATAGCAAGTCTTGATTAAAAAAAAAACATTAACACGTAGTTTCAGAAGAAGATAAATAGGAAAAACTTGATAGGTATGTTTCAAATAGGTTTTTTTATTTTGTTAATCTAAAAAAGGAGGCAAGAGACCTTCCGAAGTAACTAGTTTATATAAAAATATGTATTACTTTATGAATTTTTCCATACATATTTACTTATTGTTACAAATGCGAACTAAGTGGCAAGCTTTGTGCTGTGTGTATTACCTATATTATTGCTACAAGATATGGATCATTAAACCAGATATGTTTATAAAATGTTGGTCCAAAGATTGTTTGTGATTGACGTATTACAATCTTAAACGAGCAGATCTTCTGTTTCAGTTATAGCAATGTATGAAAGATCACGTGACCGGTATGAAGATTTCTTCGAACACATGACGTAGGCGACGAAGCGAACGACACAAAATAGTTACAATAGCAAGATCATCTCTGTGGCCTAATGTAACCTTGTTTAATAGTAATGCCTTTTGTTTTGGCGGAGTGTTCAACGTTTGAAGTCCCGTATACCCCTGATGGGGCAGAGCTCGTCTGCGTCTATTTTATAGATTCGAATTTGGTAAGAATTATGGAGTTTTAATACGCTTCGAGGATAAATTTATCGTCATTTAAACGGAAGTTATATTTATTAAAACATGATCTATATGTTCTAATTTTAAAGTAAATTATTTCTGGTATTTTTCTAAGGTAACCATTGATTAGAGATGGATACGTTAGTGATATCAACTCGGGCGCAGCTCAGTGTGCTATAAGAAAAGTGAATGTGAGGCTACTTTTGCCTGTCTTGATAAAAAAAATTACGTAAAATTATTTTTTTATTTATTTTTTTGTTAAATCTGGCTTTATTATATAGAGGTTATTATTTAGATTTTTTCAATTGATAAAAAAATATTATAAATCATAAACGGATCACACACATGCGTTGTGTGCCACCAAAAAACCTATTAGATTCTGCGCAGAACCAGAAAAAGGTCGTTACAGTGGTACCTTTTTGTTAAGTTGACAGAAAAGTTACGTCATTTGAGTTTGACAGTCATCTTGGAATTTAATGTGAATATTAAAAAAATACTATTTTTGTAAATAATTGAAATGGCGCGTAGCAATTCAAAACTATGTTAGTTCTCATAACTGCAAGGAATGAACCGGTCATTCCTCTCCATCACTAAATATTTGTTTAACATGTCTTATTTTAGAATACAAAGAGATAAAACCATTTGAGTAGGAAGAATAAGATACACGTTTTGCATACTAGAAAATTCTCGAAAACCGTGTCTAAATCTTAAAACGTTTATAAAATAAGTGCGTACTATTGCTCCTAAAATACCGGATCTGTTAATTTGAAAACGTTTTTGGTATATCCCTTAAATTAATCATAATACATATATTACATATTGTCATGATATTTTCTAAACACTTAACATTTATATTTACATAACTTACATTATAAAATAAATTAACAAATAAGGCAACTTTTCGTAAAACATTTACGCAAAAAAGGTACTGAGGCCTGGCAACATTGCAAAAACTATAGGCAAGATGCGTTATGCAAAATTACAAAAAATGCTGATTTAAAATGTATTTAAATATTTTGCAAATTCGTATCGTAAAATCAAGTCTCATTATTTCTTGAATTATTTAAGAATAATAATACTTAAAAACTAAATTATACAATTGTAAATGTTTTACCTACTTATAGAGTCTTCACTGGGCAAGCAACAGAATATATCAAAATGATCATATATAATACAGTAAAATTAATAAAAATAAAAACTTATCACGTCTAATAATAAAATAACGCTTAATAAATATTGAGTATTCATCTCAAAATTATAGAGAACTGGCAATTTTAAGCTATAAATCTATAGATATACGAATTTTATTGGTATTGGAAAATAAAATAAACCAAGTAAATAATTAATATAAATTAAACTTATTAAAGTATTATTTAAATTTTTTTAACCAATTGGAAAAATTTATTTTCAGAATAAAATGTATAATTAGTATTTGTGACAATATTATCACAAAGAAAAATCAACAACTAACAAAAAATATTTTTGCAAGTGCAATTAAATACTACGTCATAAAAAACATGTGCCTGGCAATACCATTACGTTACTAAGGGTAAATAGAGATATGTATTCTCTTTTCACACAATAACAATCTCCTTCACAAACCATAGAGGATAGACTATTAAATATTTATTGTTGTCTGGCTTAAAAGATTATCTGTGGTTCTTGATCTTTCGTTCTGAGGCCTTCAAATTTAGAATACGTCTAATCGAGCATATTCAAAATTGAAAAATAGAAATGTTGTCTTTTGCTAATATAAAAGAAACGTCCTAAAACTAATTTAATGACTTTCTCGGTCTCAGCCACTTTTTATTACTCATGAGACAATAGACAATAATCTATTAATGTCTATACTCATAATACGCACTTGGTTTTCTGGTATATCAGATCTTAAATTCTTCAGAACGACGCGCCAGATTAGACCATCATCTTTCCCTTGATAAATACAATTGTCTATCCCATAAAAGCCACAAACGAAGCAAACGTAGGGAAACATCCCCCAGGCGTCGCCACTTCCACATATCCATTGAGCTTTCGAAGCCAAGGTAGCCAAAAGGACGGCACAGGGTTTCAATAGGAAAAGCTTAAAGCCAGCCTTTATCCAGTTCTTTTCGGAGCATTCTGGTGAGTTTGAGCACTCCCTCATCTATTTGACCAGCGAAGAGAGAGTCTAAGAGATCCTCTCGGGAGGCAAGCGCGAAGATTCCAGCCAAGCGCGATACTGACTTGTCTGACAAGTGACGCTCCACTACTGATCTGGAAATTATAATTAACAGATAATATACGTAGATAATTTAAATAAAATATCGTGTTAGGGCGTATCTTCGTTTAATGAAAGTAAAGTTCGAGTACTAAACGCAGAAACTATTTTTTGGAAGGGGCAATTTTTTTTCAATATTTGTAATGATGACTTTCAAAAGTTACAATGTACATGCACTATATTTATTGTGTTAAATTTTCCGGTTAAATTATAAATAAAGACGCCAATACTAGCGATATTTTTTATAGACTAAAGTTATAGGTCTCTGTATTTACTTGGATGTACATAAAATTTACTCGTCGAATTGATAACCGCTTTTTTGAAGTCGGTTTTTAAATAGGAATGTAGCAATACCTTAGCAATATCAACTTACTTGAGCGACTGGTGTGAGTCACGGAGTGCATCTTGTAGAAAACCTCGGTCGTAGGAAAACTCCACCTCCGAAAATGACACTATAGCCATTAACACCGTCTGAAATGTTCAATCATTCAAGTAATTTAATTTAATTTATGAAGCAGTTTTTGAATATATTTCTTACCAATATGTGCAAATAGTTTTATAATTGATTTAAATCAATATCAATTTCCTAACCTATAAAATTTCCTTTACTTTATCAAAGTTGTAAGCCTTACAAACGTTATACATTTTCATATAATTACCTTTTAAACTATCATTCTATAAAACTATTATCTTGTAATCGGATGTTATAATAACATCCAGGGCGATACAACTATGTATGGGCTTCTGACTTCAAAATTTTTCGTTATAGACAAATAGATCTATTTGTATCTGCCACAGATGGTCAATTTTTTAATTAACAAATTATAATAATTACCCTCACGAACGTTTACCTTTCCCGTACAAGAAAATGTTAATTACATAGAAAGAATGATCGGTTAAATTTTTATAAAGCGTATAAACATTATACAAGAACAGCTTACATGGAACTTAGATCTGAAGGCATCTAAAGCGCGGTCATCGGCCGGCGATAACTGTCCATGACGACGAAGAACTCCCAACTTCACGGCCGCCTTGATTACGTGCTTTACCAATTTTTCAGCCTCTCGCTTCTCTATTCGTTGGCGGAGAACGGTTAAAAACTGAAATATGATAATTATACATTTTAATATGAAGTTATAAGTAATGTAGTATCGGCGTAGAGATAGTATTTAATTTTGATTAGAATATTCATTTGACTACAGAAAGTACAGCATATGTCTCTCTATCAATATTGTATATACAGTGTACTCTTTATAACGTCATTCGTTAAAACGAAACTGTTTTACCAACGTCTTAGATAATTCACGTCTACATATTGTAATAAAATGCAATAGTTTAGGACGAAATTTATTAACATTAAATTAATGCAAAAAGGATTTACTTACGAATGTGTCTTGTGAATGAAGTGATTTTATATTCTATTGTACCTGATCGAGGAGCTTAGCAGCGTGCTCGTCAAGCACAAGTGAGCGTGCGCTGGCAGCGCCGCCGACACGCGATAAGAACTTTTTCTGCGCGCGCAGTGATATGTCGCGGGCGCACCACGCACCGCCCTCCATAGCTGAAACGTAATACGTAATCAATCAGAAATTTCCCTTTATATTTTTTATGGAGAGAAAATTTTGAAAAAAAAAAAAGTTTTTTAGTTTCTTGGAAATTATTCCGGAAAAGCGAACAGTCTCTATGAGGTAGCACAGCAAAATGTTTCATATGTTTGTAGGCTAAGTAAAAAAAACATATTAGGGCGAAACGAAGTTCAGAGGGGCAGCTAGCTTAGTGATAATTTTGAAATATTTACTATTGAATTAAAAAAACAAATCTTTAAAGTTATTAATGCAGCTTAATAATCTATTTATATTCTGTGGAATAATTACGATAAACAAAAACCTCCATAGAGGTCAAAAGCGGTTAATAAGCTAAATATAGCTTAATTATAGCAATTGATATTAATTAGAAAACAAATGGCCAAGGTTTAAACGATGAATCATTTTAACAGGAACTCACAGATAACAGCTGAATATAACTAGAGCTGTAAGTTAGCTTTGAAAATTTGAAATATTTATTGACCAGTATTGATCAGTTTTTCACTTTTTAAGCATTTTTTCAAATTACGTCTGACAATGACTAACCGACCACTCCCATACGTCTCGCAAAGGATTCAAAGATTTCTATTGAATTGATGTAATGTAGATAAAATAAAAAAAAACTTTATTCATGACAGAAATATGCTTGTGACAAATTTGATCTAACTCTTATGGAGACCCTGTGTTGTAGGTACTTACTAGATTACAATTATTCCGTGATACATGGTGCATTTATAGTATTAGTGTTACATCTAATTAAACAAAAGTCGTATAAGACCTCCAGTATGCGCGAATGTAGACGTGATTGTATTAGCTTGCGCTGTGTGTGTGTTAGTTTTTGGAACCTCAAGAGTCAAATATGTAGTAGGGCCTCTGCAGAATCGGATAGCAATTTGGATGGCAATTTTTATGCGTTTTATGAGCATCTGGATATCGGTATCATCGCAACTAAGATTGTCGATGATACCGTCTCAGAAATATATTTCCTTATATAATCTATGAAGTCATTACCCATATGCTGCGAAAGATTTATGATAACATACAGGTTAAACGGCCAATATACCCTACCCTCGCTGACTCATCACTGCCAAGTTCCGCATACAGGCTTCCGCTGATAGCCTAAAATTGCTGTATCGCGTGCCAAAACGCCCTTGGAAGGCGTAGAGACGTCAATGTCAAGAACTTGGAAGGGCTTGAACGAAGTTATCAGATATTACTGTCAATTCAAATGAATGGCAGGCGTTTTACGATATGGGTCGGACCTAATTGAATTCAACCCGTCTCCTAAGACATTTCGGATAATTGCTACTCCTGACTTTGCATTAAGATACTCTTTTTACTTGATCATAGAATTTAATGAACCATAGATATTGGTAGTTGTCATTTATAATCTGTATTAAGAATCTGGGTCTAAACCTGGGGTAATTAGTTATTTTATTTCTGATTATTCATTTTAATCTTTTTATCTAATTTTATGAAAATGCCCAAACTATTAAAAAAGGTTGAATGTCCAAATAAAGGAATAAATAACAGAACTAATTCTGATAAGAGATCGGTATTACTTACCTACGTATTTCGTGTGGAGGTCGTTTCAAAATAATCCTTACCTACAACTTTAACAAAAGAAAAAGGCGCCCCTAACTTACGACACACACTTTCCTTGGGAAACCTTTGTATTTTACTTTTAGTGGTTATTTGACCAAAAACTTGCGTAAAATAAATTCTCCTTAATGAAGATGAATAGCTGACGTTACCTAAGAAATACATTTTAAATATAAATGTATAATTTGAAACTTAAATCGTCTAAGAGTTTTGCTATTACTAAACATTCATATGAAAATCTAATTAATTGTCTGGAAGAGACAGCTCAACAAATTACCGTTTTTTCACATCTATTGTCTACTTTTTTTACTAACTGTTTTGTGATATTTGTTTAGTAATTAGATAAAGTTATTATTATTTAAAAATAAATTTAACACATTCCACGAATTGAATTCAAATAATTGTTTCGCACCTGCACTAATTCATTCTTAAATATGTATCAAGCTTAATACGTTTCGATGAAACTGCTGAAGTTACCTTTACGAAACTGAACAAAGCATATGAAGGAGCCAAGTTGGGCTAATTAGTAATTTCAGCTTACAAGGCTATCGACAATTTGGCCTTCACTTTCTTACTAAGGAAACACAATTCAGTGCTTATTCACAAAGCATCTAATACGCCTACATAGTCAATTATATCGTTGTTAAAGTCCTTACAAAAAAGGACTTTCAAGTGACAGGTACATTACGAAAGAATAATTAATACTAATTAAACATCGCTTGTAAAGAGCATTATGTTCTATTAAAATGTATTTAATAGGTTATCTTTATTTTATTTACGTACAATCTGCCGCATGAACCATTGGTTAAATAGTCGAATTATAATACAGGCAGTCCTCGACTTACGTCGTTTCGATTTATGTCGTTTTTTTTTCTTTTTTTTTTTTTTTTTTTTTTTTTTTTTGTTTTTGGTTTTTTTTTTTTTTTTTTTTTATTTTTAGAATGGAGAAAAAATTTTTTGAAGAAAAAAATTTTTTTTTTGTGAGGAAATTTAAAAGAAAAAAAAAAAATTTTTGGGGCCTATTAAGTGTTAGTTGACGTTTAATTTCAGAACCTATACATGCCGTTTTATAATTATTATTAAAATAAAACACCACCAACGTTATATGTTTCCCTTTTTTTCAACACCCCCCCGCCCCAAACCCAAGAGTTTAACATGTAAAAAAAAGAAAAAAAAAACCCGACACAACGACGTTTTAATTTACGCCGCGTATTTCGAGAACCTAACATGCCGTAAGTACGAGGACTGCTTGTATACTAAAATATTAACAAAATGGCCTCTAACACGACAGACCAAAAACTGCAACGTGACTTTGCAACGTATAAAAACTTTTCCGGCGATTTACAATCTATGGTTATTATGTGGGGTTACCGCCCCGGGTGTAATTTCCGGAACCGCCTCCAACAATATACGGTTTATGATAAAATCACGTAGGTTAATAAAACCATGTTATAACATTTTAATATTATTCATATACTCTACAAATAATGTACGATTGATAATACAATAATAGTATCTCAATCAATAACTCTATTCATAAGAGCTCTCGTTTGAAATTGAATTGGAAAAAAAAATACAACAACCGACTTATCTTCTCTAAAAGTATGTTTTTTATGTACATCGGGAAAAAAGCGGAATATAAATAATTCAAATATTGAAGCTGACAATTTGTTGACAAATAAAAACATTTACAGTCTAAAAATTAAAATATTAAGCGGCCAGCCACAACTTTATGATTTATTCAAAACATGAATCATGAAGGTGAGGATACAATTCCACAGAAATCGCGCAAACGCATGAAGTAGATAAACTTAAAACTACTAGGAAGGTATAAATAGGAACCACTTTAGTCAAGGTAACGTGGAAATACAAAATTAAAGCCTCGTAGCTATATATATTTTTCAGTTCGGCAAGAGTCAGAATTCATACCTAATGCAAAGTTCAGCTATCTACACCATAAATTTTTGCACATTAAAATATGTTAACTGTTGCCATGTAATAATAGCAACGAGGGAGCCTTGCAATAATTTTACCGCGCATTTCATTTCCAAGCTGTCACATTTAACGCAGAAAAATTGCATTTTATACACACGCGATGTGTTATTTCAGCGTATTTTGAAATAGCCACGCCTCGTTGGTTCTTATAGCAGCTAAAACACTGATATAAGGATAATAATATGAATTCCTAAGGAAAATAATATGTTTCGATGTTCATTACGAACAGGGTAAGATTCAGACCTTCCAGATGACAAAATCCAGTACGTTTTTGACATACGGAAGTCATTCCGTATGCTAAGCTTTATTTCTGGATCTAACTCATTGAAGCAGATACATTGTTCTTGTTCTGAACATTGTCAACTGTCAACAATGATAGTTTAGACTTTATAGAAAATTTAGCTATTGTAACTAAATTAAATTCTATAATTCGAAATAAAAAGAAATTTTGTTGAAGTGAAACTTTAGGCGCATGAGGGTAAAATTTTTACGGATGAAACGCAATAATCCTAATATTAGCGTCACCAAGATGTGCAGCGTTTTTGTCGAAGAAAAGGGAGAGAGCGATTGAGACCGATTGAGAGAGAGTGAGAAAGGGCGAACGTAGCTTGAAACAAATAGTCATGGAGCGAAAGTAAGGAGCAAGAAAGTGAGAAAGATCGAGAGAGAGAGAGTGAGAGAGAGGGAACGTCGCATCACGCACAGTGCCATGGAGCGAGAGGCGGGAGATAGTGAGAAAGAGAGAGAGTAAGGGAGATCGAGAAAAAATCCACGCTATTGGTTGATGTATTCGTTTAGTAGTTACATATTAGAGTAGTTACATACTTGTGCAGTAAACTCAGATTTTTTATTAATTTATAATATCATTACCACGCATACAGTGTGTAAACAGTGTGAATATAGATAGGTATACCAATACATGGAGTGATCATATATTGGTACATGATCATCTATTGGGGCTTTTACCTTAGTAATAATTAATTTACAAAGAAGATTCACTTCTGACGTGTGCACTTTGTACGCACGCGCTTTTTTTAAACATTTTAGCAGAATCGAACAAATCTCTTATACAGTGAGGATAATCTATTTATGAATAAGTGACATCCTCGAAGCAGAACGATTTAATTAATTTATCATTGAACTCGTTTTGTCAACTTGTTGAGTATTTTATCAGTCGGTGTCGTCTTACAGAAGTTTATTTAATATTATCAGTGCTTTAGATGAAGTCGAAGTAGACGTTGCTAAATATAAGCCAGAATAACGACTCTTCAGAACTCAGCTTCAATCGTTTTGCATCGTAGCAATTTAAAGAATTTAACACGAAATATATTCATATTGAATATTTAAATTGATAGTGACATCTTATACGGGGGCGTATCGACACAAATATTGATTATCTAATATTCACAAACAGAACCAGCTGCCTGTTGAAGTATTTCCGAACCAATTCAACTTAGGATCCTTTAAGTATAGAGCGAACCGATTCTTAAAAGGCCGTTAACACACTTGCGAGTGTGGGCCCATAGGGCGTCGATATCACTTAACCTCAGATGATCCCCCTGCCCGTTTTTCCCCTTTTATAAAAAAATAATCTTCATTATCAGTATACTACAGTAACTTGATAAAATACTGGCTGACTATTGGCAAAGATAGAGAAATCTAGAAAGGGTTGGAGGAGGCCTTTACGCAAGAGTGGATCCACAGACGACTGTTAATAAAATCATTTGAAATGGAACTTAGAAGGATATGGAAATAAGTAAGGTTTTATTATTATTAATATCGGTATACATATTCAATCATAAAGCGAGCGACAAAATAGTTGACGGAGTATCAATTGAAAAGTTAATTAGGCGTAGCATTTTCACGAACGTACATGCTCCACATACTATGCTTTTGGGTCAGGGAATAAAATTAATCACTTAGCGACAAATATCAGCTTTTGATGCTTGGTGATTAAATAATATGTGTAAACATCACAACGTTCAACTTATATAGTATATTTGGGATATTTTCCTTAAAAATTTGCTCGATAACAAAGGCTTTGTACTAACAATTAATATTTCTGAATATAATTTAGAAATTTAAAAAAAAATGTAGGTACATACATATCATACACTTCAAGGTGCCATTCGATTGAATTTTATGTTAACATTATTCAACACGGAAATGCTTTAATACAAAGCTACATAATTTTTAATGATTTTATTTATACCTCTTGCGAAGGTTCTACGAAATTTATTATGAAAAGTTAATTTACGGGCAATAAGCTTCCGATAACACCGAAGCTATATTTTACTTTTATATTTTAATTCATCTCTATTAAAGGCCATTTTGTAATTGAAAAATTGGTTTAATCAAATATTGTAACATTCGTTGCTCAGTAATTGACATTGTCAAGGGACGATGCTCTACTTCAATGTATTACAAAATTGTGAACACAATCACTGCCTCAATTGTAAATTTAACGCGATACAAGTTTTATATAAAAATCATTTCCTTATCAATATAATCATAATTAGGAATACGTCACTAAATAGTACTTTCGGGTAATTTAAATAATGTATGCGTTCATCAATGCTTATAATACACGCCTTAAACCTCCTTCACCGTAGATAATAAATATAGTTTTTTTAAACTATATTTATTTTCCACTTTTTAGTCCTAGCAGCAATACGTGTTGTCTCAATTTAATCGTATTGCTTTGTGGACTTAAAAAAAATTTCATTGTTTTTTCGAGATAAACCTATGAAATTATTATATTGTCGCTGATTCTTTATAAGTGTACAAAGTTTGAATTAAATCTGTCCGTTTAAAGTGGGCAAAATCGAGTCCGAAGGAGTCGGTTACATACATACATACATACAGGTGAAGCTAATATAAAGCGTGTAACATAATAACGTTCGCACACCAACTATTTTATTGAGAGCTTTACAACGAACGAAACGAATTTCTATTAAATATAACATTTTATAAGCCAGCTGGGCTATTGTAGTGTAAACTGTCCCGATTTCATAAGTTATGAAAGTATAAAGTATGTAGGATTGCGTGACAGGCGAGCCATCGATCCGTCGGCTACCCTCGTAAAAAGACGACGGTACCTAGAGGGACGTATTTAAAATTTTGATATTAGAAACGTAAATTGAAATTCTGCGACTTGAAGTATGTTATTTGTATTACGATTATTTCTAAGACTATTTTAATTTGGTATAACAAACATAATATCAAATTGAAAATATTAAAAAATATGAACAATGTTGGTCTAGAGGCTTCAGTGTGCGACTGTCATCCCTGAGGTCGTAGGTACGATCCCCGGCTGAACATAAATGTACTTTCTGGCTATGTGCGCATTAAACAAACGCTCGTAAGTTGAAGGAAAACCTCGGTAGGAAACCGGCATGCCTTAGACCCAAAACGGTCGAAGATGTGTTCTGACGCACACCTGTGTGCCTGAGCACAGAAGGTTGATTACCTAATTGCCTATTAATAATTATTACGGATCAGATACCGAAATCCGAGGCCCAGACTTAAAAGATTGTAGCGCCATTGGTATATATATTACAGAAAGTAAAAAATGCATTTAGTTTAAAATGTTTAGTTAAAACTTAAAATCTAGTGTTTTTACAAACAAATGAGTTACGATCTACTCGTAGCAATTTAAGTTAAGTGGGACTCTCGAATGTCGAGTACATATTGGATTTGACATACATGCGTCAAACTTAGCGCTAGGGGCAAGTTTCATAAACGATACTTATCGCTAAGTCTGACTCGGGTCCGTCAAAAATGTGTTAAATTTTTAACATTTTATAGTTACTGGATCTATTAAAGTTCTTAAGTCTCTGAATCTTGCCCTAACTAGACTGTGAATATGAATTTTAAATCTCATAGCCTTAACATGAACTTAATTAATATTGAGAGCACGTAACAAGGAAGATATCCATTAAACTCCGTCCTGTAACGGTGCTTCGTTGATGAAGGATCTAACCAAATTACTCATGATGTAAAATTATATTTAACTAGTAAAATCGCTTCCATTACAAAAAGTTATGACCAAATTTAATAAAGAATTACTTTATGTACATCATGAATAAACAAGAGAGTAAAATAAAAAAAGAGTAATTTTTTTAATGAAACGGATTTATGGAAAATAAAATTATCTATACAATTTATTAAAAGCATTAAAAAAATAGTAGGCCCTAGGCTACCAATCATCACACCACTCTCTTCATCAATTTAAGGCATTGATCAGAAAATATATAGCCATCAGAACTAATGGTAGGTAACAAATTTCAGATCAACAGAAAAAGGGTCAAATTTCAACTACTAGATTTGACCCAAACAGCTAAAAACACCGTTTTAAAAGCTATTATCATAAAGTCCAATTAGTTAAAGCGAACTAAACATACAAATGTTATTTGGCTCGTAAACAAATAGGGTAAATTGATACTATTTATTTGCTACAAAGTACTGGTACAATATTGAAAGTGATTCTCAAACAAATTGTATAAAGTAGAATAAAATGTAGCTAACTTGGAAAAGCTAGTTAGAAACAAGACGCGCGACTTATCGAACTTTTCCATTCTGGTAACAAAAGGAATGAATAAATAAAAACTTATATGCTAGGTCAAGCAATTCAGTTCATTTAAAAATTACCTGGTGATAAAACTCTTTATAAGCATCGTGTGAAACAAATTTTGCGATGAAAAGGAGTGGCGGGGATTACGCCCTTGTTTTGAAAACTGGCAGTCAATTTGGAAACATTTGATTTTTTCCATATATCATAAGTCTCCACTAAAATAATTATGATATTATTTTTAAACGACATTGTAATAAATTGTCTTGGCACTAACTGTATAAGTGAGAAGACTCAATAGTGCAATAGATAGACTTATTTCTCATTATCATTTTTATAATCAATCAAAATTTCAACTCGAAATATCTGTTAACTAAGATTCGAACCGTGTGTGAATACCCGTGCTAAGCGTGTAAAATAAATAGAAGAAAATAAAATAAAATAAAAACATTTATTTAATTACACACACACATATTGTATATAATAGAAATACAAACACTAAGTTGTTGTCACCAGTAATACTTGTAAAACTTGAAGACAATTATACATACAAATATATAAAAAACAAAATAAAATGTACCATACAAAACTTTGCAATAAAAACTACAAAATATTTTATAAGGCACATAAAGCTACCAACGAACCGTAAGGTATAAAAACTGAAAGTGAATTTTTTATTTGTTGAATCTAGGTTACTGTTTCAACTATCAAGGTGAGTCATAAAAACTTAATTACTTCATGAAGACACAGTTATTCATGGACTTAGCCGAAATAAAAAAACAGCCTTTATTCATAAATAAGTGTTACATAGTTTGAAGTACGTCAGTAATAACATTTGATAAAAAAAAATTCAAGATGTTGATTTGTAGGCTTGCCTTAATCAGCCTTGCCTACAGTTAAACAATATTTTGTCCGAAATCAAACAAAGGTGATTTTGTCTCAAGCCCCGGTTCTACCGGGGCAATTGAGACAAAATCACCTTTCGGCAGTCGCGACCCACTTACACTAAACGAAATTGTATGGGAATGACATTTGCTCACGCTTTGTCACGTGACCATTTTTAAACTAATTGGTTTGGCAGTAGTGGGTCACGCCTGTCGAAAAGTTATTTTGTCTCAAGCCCACAGATACACCATATGTACTGCCTTATTATCTACTAAGCGCGAATATTTTATATTAAGTATCGCTAATCAGCATTTTACATGTATTATGAGTGTTGTATAAATGCTAATGTAAAGTCATTTTAGACTTTCTTGTTTATCCAGATTTCTCTGTGAATTTATTATTCCAAAGTTGCTTTTCAAGTAACTAAAGGGATAGTATAGAATAAAATGACTTAGCAAATCTTTTGTTATTATAGGATGAGGATTTTAATTTACGATTTCTGGTAAGTTTATTCTGACTTCAAATCGCGCTAAAGCCCGTCACAGACTTAGCTATAATATATATATATACCGTACTATAATATATATTATAGCAAGCTACCACACACTGAGAAATATATATTTTGCCTTCATTTAATTGATGGTCGTCCTAGTGTTCGCACGTATTTTGTAATTAAGGGTGTTCTTATTTCAAAATACTAACAGTAATTATGAATTCAACAAGTACATTGTTAATGGACTTAATAGACAGTTCTTCAGAAGACGATTCCGCCGCTGCTTTCGATATGTTAGTTGCCCGGTCAGGCACAAAAACTAGAACCAAATGGATCGAATCACATATAAGAAATAAACAAACTCGTGGCGAATTTAATTTGTATCGCGAGTTATCCTCAAAAAAATTTGCCCAATATTTTAGAAGTTCAAGATCGTCATTTCTAGAGCTACATGAATTGATAAAAAATGACATAAAAAAGAAAAAAAGGTGTGCGGGGATCGAATCACGCTGTACATTCAAAATATGTCGGAATATGTCTTGCTATACCATAATATATAGTAATATGCAATAATGTATATTACGGTATCGCTTGGTGACGTCACAGAAATATATATTATAGCTGAGTGTGCGGTCACGCGAAAATTAGTATAGAAAATATATAGTAATATGCCTAGCCATAAAAATATTAATATATATTATAGCTAAGTCTGTGACGGGCTTTAATCTAAATAAAAAAATCATCCTTTAACTAACCAAACAGAGCCTTAATAAATTAAAATTCTCAAGAGACCCTTTGAGGTCAATGTCTCAAATCGGGGATGGAAATAGGTCCATTTCATTTTAGAGAGCCCGGAGCTTTACCTAAATATTGGAAAGGTTAATGACCTCAAATCAAAGGTATCTTTAAATAAAAACCTTATATATATAGTTGCGATGTAAAATGCGAAGCTGAAGACCGAGCTCCTGGTGGACACCCTCTACTTCATCCAGAAGTTATAGGCTATTTCTTCACAGTTGTAATGGCTACAAATCAGGGGCTGGAGTCAGGCTAGTACGAAGGCGTCAACACCTGAATCGCGCTATTGAAGTGTTTTGAAGTTAAGAATACATGTATAGTATCTTGCCATCAGCCAATAGCCTTCAGTGGTTTTTAGTCTGGTCGCTGAATCTCCCTTCAGGTTGGAGGAAGAGAACAACTCCTTTTCCCCACATCTAAAAGTTTAGTACAGTACCCGCACCCGTACAGTAAGTACTTTTGTGAGTACAATACGATAATAGCAGTGCTGGACAGCACATGTATTGATTTATTGGCCAAATTACCTATGTTCAAGCGATGCATGATAGCTTTCGACACTAAAATGTATAGTTTCTATTTTATATAACTAAAAAAACATACTAAAAATTTTCGAAATATTTTGGGACTTAGAAACTTAAAACTATCAACAAAAGAGGTCTTGATGCTACTAGGGAATTTCTCTTCAGACCAAATTAAGACATCAATCAAACCCGTAATTTAATAGTGCAAGGCATAAAATTAAAAAAAGATTTTTTATAAAAAATATTTAATTATTTTTGAGTTCACACATGTAAATGTTACAGTTCATTGACCTTAAATCAAATAAGAACTTGATAAACCTTTACATGTGTAGGAAGAAAATCAATTTCACCTTATAATATGAGTTTCGTGTAATAAGAGGATTTTGAAGGTAAACAACGTTATGATTATATTTGATCTTGTAAGAACTCAATTTTGATAGATAAAAAAACATAAGCAAGACTACTCAAAAGAAAAAACAGCAATCTTGTACGTTGTATTCCTGAAAAACACTGCGACTGTGTGCGCAGGTGACCTGACACGGAATGACCCATTTAACACAACTCACTATTCTCATTTTTAAAGTTAAATATTATATTCAAATATTTTAAGTTCGCTTTTTTATACAAAGCCTGAATGTTATAAATATCCATCAATATATGTCAACATCGATTTAATTTAACAATATTGAACTACGCAGCGCATTTGGCCTTGGGCCTCTCGGAAGCGTTGCTAAGCAACCAGCTGTCAAGATATCCTTTGTGTACCTGTTGTGTATAAAGTTAACTTGATAATGTTTAATGGACTATGAAAACTATAGACAAATTCATGGATTTTAAAGGTCTTAGCTAGCTAATTGGTACATTGACTAAATGATTTACAAATAAGTCTTGCTTTAAAATTGGTATTTATTGGGTATTCACTGCACCTCGTATGTTACCGATTGTAAGCAAAACCTTAAAAAACGCATATACGTGAAATAATAATGGATACTTAAAAGGACAGTGCAAAGCGATCAATTCCTATTAAATTCATATTGTATGTCGAAGTTTAGAGGACGCCTTGACCGCTTAACGTGTCCAGGACACCGCCTACTCACCGAAATTTTACTAACAAAATATCGAATTTAGCACTTCTACAATCATTATAAAGAGGAAAGATTTGATTGTTTGATTGGCTCCAATACTAATGGACCGACTTGAAAAATTAATTCACCAATTAAATCCTACATTACTGATGAACATAATCTAAATATTGTAATCAAAAAAGTTAGGGACACAACTCCGATAATGTAACCCAAACTTACTCTGCGTAAAGCGACAAGATAGTTTAGACTAGAGAAAAGTGTCTGTACTACATTTTATCGAAGGCGTCAATATCTGTAAAAAAATATACCATGTCTAACTATTATAAAAGAAAAATATGCAGGTCCTATCAAGCTTTAACGACACTAAAAGTACATGTTTCAATCTATTTAACTATCTTGTTCAAATCTATCTTTATTAAACAAAATGAAACATTTATTGGTAAACGGTATTAATTATAATATGTATTTATATCGCAAAGTTAGCATAATTTTTGTCAAGAATATAAAGTCACAGACACTATAAACCCATACGATTTATTTAAATTAAAACACGTGTTTGAAAATCTTTAAAAATCCGAGCAAGCGGAAAATAAAATAAAGTAGATCCAGGTCCTTGGATTATTTTGCGTCGTCACAAATTCCTTAACTCGACGTCCTATTATGTAAATGATGAACCCTCATCCTATTTAATGAATAATATACATGATATTGGAACTATATAATTTATTACAGTCATATTTACTGGGTATTCCGACAAATATTGAGCGAAAGATGATAGAGATTACTTTCTGGTGTCTTCATTCTTAAGAAGCCTTACCCAAGAAGCAGTAATCGTTTCAAAAACAAAAATGGCTTCCTAACACATATAGAACTTTTGTTTACTATATTATGTAAGTATGACCCATATGAGAAAGCTCCATGTTTTGTAATACAACAGTTTTATATACAGATAATATTTACAAACTTAAAAAACTAAAAATAACAAAAAATAAAACTTACAAGTGGCTACCATGAAGAAAACTTAAAAATACTCGAGGCAAAAGAAAATCGGCGACTATATTTCCAGCTCCTGTAAACAAAATAAATAAAAGAAATTAAAACAAAAATAAAATAAAACATAAATAAGTAATTAACAAATAAGTATAATATGGTATGATATAATACAAAATTGTGAGTTAAATATGCCAATATAAATAATGTGTCGCGCAAAATAATTTTTGAAATAAAATTTCTTTAACGGATATTAATACGAATTTATTATCTAATATATAAAATTATCGTGTCACAATGTTTATTCCCATACTCCTCCGAAATGGCTCGACCGATTCTTATGAAATTTTTATTCATATTCAGTAAATCTGAGAATCGGCTACTATCTATCTTTCAAACCCCTAAGTGATAAGGGGTGTCCACTGTCCACCCCAATTTTTTATTTTATTTTGTATATTTTTTTTGTTTTTATGTTTTATGATACAGCATACAAAAATACATACAACCCTTAATTTTCATCCCTCTACGATCAACCCCTATTTTTTTATTATTGTAGATAGTTATTTTTATTAAATTAAAAAAATGTTGCCTGGAAATAATATACATGGCAAAACAAACGTTTGCCGGGTCAGCTAGTTATTAAATATATTCCAGGCAATAAAAACGACGAAAAAATAAATCAGTGGCGCTACAACCTCTTTAGGTCTGGGCCTCAGATTTCTGAATCTGTTTCATGATCATTTTTAAATCTAATAGGCTAGTAGGTGATCAGCCTCCAGTGCCTAAGTCACGCCGTCGACTTTTTTGGGTCTAAGACATGTCGGTTTCCTCACGATGTTTTCCTTCACCGTTCGAGCGAATGTTAAATGCGCACATAGAAAGAACGTCCATTGGGGCACAGCCGGGATCGAACCTACGACCTCAGGGATGAATGTCGCACGCTGAAGCCACTAAGCCAACTCTGCTCAACGCTGCTGAAAAGCGTTAGAAACGTAAAATTAACGTTTATATCCGTTAATTAAGCATACACGAGACATTTATTTACAGAAATAAAACAAGTTCCACGGGCGCATAACAGCATTACCGTGTAAGGATAATAAAGTTAACGATCGTTTCCTCGGTCTATATTTAAATCCTTTTATCCGAGACTGGCGGATGCTGGAAAAATTACTTCACGCTCTAACATTCCTTTTTATTAATTTATTCTGAGAAAGACTTTAATTTTACGGAAATTGATTGTTTCTCGTAAAGTGTAAATTTATTAAATTCTGATGAATATTTTTTTATCCTCTCCATTACATTATATCAGTGGGGGTACAACTCCGAAACATAGGCATCAAGCTTATGTTTTTGTTTGTTATAGATGAAGCTGATTTTTTGGACATAACGCCAGTTTTCTTCGCCGTATCAATGCGTTATTATTCCGCTCATATAAAGAAAATCCATTAAAGCCGGGGTTCTAACGCCCGAAGTAAGTATTGAACATCGTGCTGGACCACTAGTATGTATCCATACATCCTTTACACAAATTAACATGTAAAATCAATTAAGTATTCTAGTCTATCTAGAATTCTTACAAAATATCGCATCTTAACTGTAGAGAGACTTCTATCTCCTCCCACATCAGTTTAAGTACACTTAGACAGCTTCCTCACTTAAAGATATTATCCCATAAGCATAATTTTATTATGGACAATGTATAGTTTAATTTAACATTTCTTGTATCGTGTAATTACGCATATACTTGCTTGATAACCGGATTAAAATTAGCTGTACTATATTTGTATTTTATGGGTAAGGGTACTCTGTAAATCCCAATGATTATTTCAGAAATATGTATGTATGGAATTCGTACGCTCTAGCATCTTGTTTAATTGTTTCTCTAACTTTTTTATCCGAAATTTAGCACTAATAATGAAACTGAAATAATTATTGAGGTAACGTGGTATGCTTATTTACTTTTGTGATTTTGAATCTCTTTAATTCAAACTTACAACTAAACCTCTTATTCACAAAATTTGAATCAGTTTAGACTGATTAAAAGTAGTATTTTGGATCTTTCTGTCAAATTGTGTTTATGAAAAGATACAAAAGAGTATTTTAATTGAAAAGCATTCAATTAGAATGATTTTATGAATAAAAGGATTTGTTTTCAAAAAATTTAAAAAATTTTTGATTTAAAAGATTCATTTTTTTACACCTAAGAGGGGGCAGAAGGAAAGAAGGCTGTTGTTAATTGATACCGACGCTACCGTCATCCAGAGACACTCCCACAGCCAGAAGACTCGCAAGTGTGTTGCCAATATTTTAATAATCAGTACGTCTTGGTGACTGGTCGTACTTGAATTCGTGTATGCGGTGATGTTAATTATTTCGACTATGTGTTTGCGTGTTGTTCCCACGAGAATGTAAGTGCGTGCTCCTATTTCACCATGCCTCCTGCTGATAGAGGACAAGTCTTTGTTTTTAATTTATGTTATTATTATTAATTACTTAAGATGTCATGTGCAACATGGTGTAATGGTTGCAGCTCCTTACAAACGTTGTGTAAAAAAAAACATGGCGATTAAAAAGAGTGGCGGAGAGTTTATTGCCAGTTCTTCTCTTCCGTTCTAAGCCCTTGATTTGTGAACTGGCAGTAAATGTAAAATTAGAAGCAT